GTCTAGTGTTGTGTGGGAAACACACAGTCTAGTGTGGAAAACACACAGTCTAGTGTGGGAAACATACAGTCTAGTCTAGTGTGGGAAACACACAGTCTAGTGTGGGAAACACACAGTCTAGTGTGGGAAACACACAGTCTAGTGTGGGAAACACACAGTCTAGTGTGGGAAACACACAGTCTAGCGTAGTGTGGGAAACATACAGTCTAGTGTAGTGTGGGAAACACACAGTCTAGTCTAGCGTAGTGGGAAACACACAGTCTAGCGTAGTGGGAAACACACAGTCTAGCGTAGTGTGGGAAACACACAGTCTATAGTGGGAAACACACAGTCTAGCGTAGTGTGGGAAACACACAGTTTAGTGTAGTGTGGGAAACATACAGTCTAGTGTGGGAAACACACAGTCTAGCGTAGTGTGGGAAACACACATTTTAGTGTAGTGTGGGAAACATACAGTCTAGTGTGGGAAACACACAGTCTAGCGTAGTGTGGGAAACACACAGTTTAGTGTAGTGGGAAACATACAGTCTAGTGTGGGAAACACACAGTCTAGCGTAGTGTGGGAAACACACAGTTTAGTGTAGTGTGGGAAACATACAGTCTAGTGTGGGAAACACACAGTCTAGCGTAGTGTGGGAAACACACAGTTTAGTGTAGTGTGGGAAACATACAGTCTAGTGTGGGAAACACACAGTCTAGTGTGGGAAACACACAGTCTAGTGTAGGAAACACAGTCTAGTGTAGGAAACACACAGTCTAGTGTTGGAAACATACAGTCTAGCGTAGTGTGGGGAACACACAGTCTAGTGTGGGAAGCACACAGTCTAGTGTGGGAAACACAGTCTAGTGTAGGAAACACACAGTCTAGTGTGGGAAACACACAGTCTAGCGTAGTGTGGGAAACACTAGCGTAATGTAGGAAACACACAGTCTAGCGTAGTGTGGGAAACACTAGCGTAGTGTAGGAAACACACAGTCTAGCGTAGTGTGGGAAACACTAGCGTAGTGTAGGAAACACACAGTCTAGCGTAGTGTGGGAAACACTAGCGTAGTGTAGGAAACACACAGTCTAGCGTAGTGTGGGAAACACTAGCGTAATGTAGGAAACACACAGTCTAGCGTAGTGTGGGAAACACTAGCGTAGTGTAGGAAAGACACAGTCTAGCGTAGTGTGGGAAACACTAGCGTAGTGTGGGAAACACACAGTCTAGCGTAGTGTGGGAAACACTAGCGTAGTGTAGGAAACACACAGTCTAGCGTAGTGTGGGAAACACTAGCGTAGTGTAGGAAACACAGTCTAGCGTAGTGTGGGAAACACACAGTCTAGCGTAGTGTGGGAAACACTAGCGTAGTGTAGGAAACACACAGTCTAGCGTAGTGTGGGAAACACTAGCGTAATGTAGGAAACACACAGTCTAGCGTAGTTTGGGAAACACTAGCGTAGTGTAGGAAACACACAGTCTAGCGTAGTGTGGGAAACACTAGCGTAGTGTAGGAAACACACAGTCTAGCGTAGTGTGGGAAACACACAGTCTAGCGTAGTGTGGGAAACACTAGCGTAGTGTAGGAAACACACAGTCTAGCGTAGTGTGGGAAACACTAGCGTAGTGTAGGAAACACACAGTCTAGCGTAGTGTGGGAAACACTAGCGTAGTGTAGGAAACACACAGTCTAGCGTAGTGTGGGAAACACTAGCGTAGTGTGGGAAACACACAGTCTAGCGTAGTGTGGGAAACACTAGCGTAGTGTGGGAAACACACAGTCTAGCGTAGTGTGGGAAACACTAGCGTAGTGTAGGAAACACACAGTCTAGCGTAGTGTGGGAAACACTAGCGTAGTGTAGGAAACACAGTCTAGCGTAGTGTGGGAAACACACAGTCTAGCGTAGTGTGGGAAACACTAGCGTAGTGTAGGAAACACACAGTCTAGCGTAGTGTGGGAAACACTAGCGTAGTGTGGGAAACACACAGTCTAGCGTAGTGTGGGAAACACTAGCGTAGTGTAGGAAACACACAGTCTAGCGTAGTGTGGGAAACACTAGCGTAGTGTAGGAAACACAGTCTAGCGTAGTGTGGGAAACACACAGTCTAGCGTAGTGTGGGAAACACTAGCGTAGTGTAGGAAACACACAGTCTAGCGTAGTGTGGGAAACACTAGCGTAATGTAGGAAACACACAGTCTAGCGTAGTTTGGGAAACACTAGCGTAGTGTAGGAAACACACAGTCTAGCGTAGTGTGGGAAACACTAGCGTAGTGTAGGAAACACACAGTCTAGCGTAGTGTGGGAAACACACAGTCTAGCGTAGTGTGGGAAACACTAGCGTAGTGTAGGAAACACACAGTCTAGCGTAGTGTGGGAAACACTAGCGTAGTGTAGGAAACACACAGTCTAGCGTAGTGTGGGAAACACTAGCGTAGTGTAGGAAACACACAGTCTAGCGTAGTGTGGGAAACACTAGCGTAGTGTAGGAAACACACAGTCTAGCGTAGTGTGGGAAACACTAGCGTAGTGTAGGAAACACACAGTCTAGCGTAGTGTGGGAAACACTAGCGTAGTGTAGGAAACACACAGTCTAGCGTAGTGTGGGAAACACTAGCGTAGTGTAGGAAACACACAGTCTAGCGTAGTGTGGGAAACACTAGCGTAGTGTAGGAAACACAGTCTAGCGTAGTGTGGGAAACACACAGTCTAGCGTAGTGTGTGAAACACACAGTATAGTGTAGTGTGGGAAACATACAGTCTAGCCAGTGGCGGAACTAGAAAAAAAGGGCCACCCCGCAAAATTTGTTTTAGGCCCCCCATATATATATATATATATATATATATATATATATATATATATATATATATATATATATATATATATATATATATATATACATACATATATACATATATATATATAAACACAAAATACGAACATAGGATTCTCAATGCTGTCTTGTTCGGGTTTTGAAAAAAATGTTTTTTTTTCAATTAAAACAAATTACAACAACATGTCATGTGCGTAAGCCAGGGGTCGGCAACCTGCGGCTCGCGAGCCGCATGCGGCTCTTTTGATATCAAGATGCGGCTCTCCAGCTCCTTGCACAAATACTAATAATCTTAATCAAAAAATAAAATATTTGAAATAAAAAACATGTTAGTGGCTCTTTAAAACCATGGAAATTTTGAAAATTGTACCTTTTGGCTCTTCCGCTTCAAAAGGTTGCCGACCCCTGGCGTAAGCCCATTAGTCTGTTTTAAAAATATAGTTTATTTTATCTCTGCTATAGAACCTCTCTACCCCAAATTTGTCAAAAGAATATAAAACATGAAAGCTTTGTATAAGTAATGGTATCTTGTGTTATGTTTATTTTTATGTTTTTTTTTTATTTATATTATTAATTTTAAATGCACTATCTTTTTATACCTACAATTCTCATTCTTTTGTAAGTACTTTATAAAACAAACAAATTAAGAGAAGTAATTACTTTTTATTTGTTTAGTGCAAATCTATTAAAAGGAGCTTATTAGCACCCCTATTTGACTATTTAAAAAAGGGAAATAATTCGTGGAAGTGGTTTGAACGTTTGCTTATCTTTGATAAGTTTGATTGTAGATGAAAGAGGACTCGGCTTTCACGGTGGTTTAAAACCAAAGGGAAAAAGAATATACAAGAGCGTCGTGGGGGTGGTGTCTATAGAATAAAGATAATCTTTTTACAAAACAACTATCAAGTCAAAAATGCAAGAGAATTATTTTTTTAACTATAAAAAAATGTATTCTGGTCGTCTGTGGGCCCCTAAATGGCGTGCCCCCCCCCCCGCATTGCGGGGTCTGGCGGCACTGTAGTTCCGCCCCTGAGTATAGCGTAGTGTGGGAAACATACAGTCTAACGTAGTGTGGGAAACACACAGTCTAGTGTGGGAAACACACAGTCTAACGTAGTGTGGGAAACACACAGTCTAGCGTAGTGTAGGAAACACACAGTCTAGCGTAGTGTGGGAAACACACAGTCTAGTGTGGGAAACATACAGTCTAGCGTAGTGTGGGAAACACACAGTCTAACGTAGTGTGGGGAACACACAGTCTAGTGTGGGAAACACACAGTCTAACGAAGTGTGGGAAACATACAGTCTAGCGTAGTGTGGGAAACATACAGTCTAGCGTAGTGTGGGAAACACACAGTCTAGTGTGGGAAACACACAGTCTAGTGTGGGAAACACACAGTTTAGTGTAGTGTGGGAAACATACAGTCTAGCGTAGTGTGGGAAACACACAGTCTAGTGTGGGAAACACACAGTCTAGTGTGGGAAACATACAGTCTAGTCTAGTGTGGGAAACACACAGTTTAGTGTAGTGTGGGAAACATACAGTCTAGCGTAGTGTGGGAAACACACAGTCTAGTGTGGGAAACACACAGTCTAGTGTGGGAAACACACAGTCTAACGTAGTGTGGGAAACACACAGTCTAGCGCAGTGTGGGAAACACTAGCGTAATGTAGGAAACACACAGCCTAGTGTGGGAAACACACATCTAGTGTGGGAAACACACAGTCTAGTGTGGGAAACACACAGTCTAGTCTAGCGTAGTGGGAAACACACAGTCTAGTGTGAGAAACACACAACCTAGCGTAGTGTGGGAACCATCGAAGTTAATTACACGTTGTCCCTAAAGCGTTCATTAACTGTTGACGATACGTATCCAGGTCTGTCTTTGTCTATTCTGTTAAATCTTCCCATAACATAAATTATAATCTCAACATCCGAGTTAAAGTAACGACCCATAACATATAATCTCAACATTCTAGTTCGTGTAACGACACGCAGTAGCGTGGGATTGTGTATACAATAAGTTGAAGTAGATATTTATGGGGTTTCTTGATATCAAGTAGAGCCAACAACTGGAGCCAACAGTTGGAGCCAACAGTTGGAGCCAACAGTTGGAGCCTACTCTAGAAGCCTGCTGTAGGAGCAAAGTTAGAGAGCCGGATTTGAAGAAGCAACTTTGACAATTATGGTTTCTGCCATGAAGCTTGCAGCTGTGTTTATTCTTGTATGGCTGGATTATTGTGACTCTATAGTGATGATTAATTCAGGTAAAGTTTACTACATTACATTTTGACAAAACGTGTACAAAAATTAATGGACAAGCTGTTGGTCGTTTGACTGAAACAAGTTAAACATTGTAACTACGCTTGTCGTGCTACAGGACAAAGTCATCATAAATGTATACAAGTGGTATATTGATAAAGTGGTATATTATTAAAGTGGTATATTATTAAGGTGGTAAATTCATAAAGTGCCATTTTGCATGCAACTACAATCGTCATCACTTAAGAATGTCGAAAACTGGTATATTTATTTTTTTGTGTCACACTGGTAATTAAGAGACATGGTTCCTCTATTGACAAGCTACGGTAGGTATGTCTTACTTTTGTCACGAGGTTAAGATTTGAACGGAACACTCCCTGTAAACACGATATCACTGACACTACACACTGCCGCGTGCCACATGACACCATCTCTTACATTAGAATCACGTGACCTCAACAGGTTCTCCCTCGGACTGTCCCTTCACCTGGGTATCCTACCCCAACAGCGACTTCTGCTACAAGTTCTGGAAAAGGACCCTGCCCATACCACGTGACAAGGCCGTCCATGTTTGCCGGCTGGTGGGGTCAGAGTTGGTGACCTTTGATTCACAGGAGGAGCTGGTAAGTTGGGTGCTTCAGGTTGGGTGCTATGGTAAGTGCTTCAAGTTGGGTGCTATGGTAAGTGCTTCAAGTCGGGTGCTATGGTAAGTGCTTCAAGTTTGGTGCTATGGTAAGTGCTTCAGGTTTGGTGCTATGGTAAGTGCTTCAAGTTTGGTGCTATGGTAAGTGCTCCAGGTTTGGTGCTATGGTAAGTGCTTCAAGTTAGGTGCTATGGTAAGTGCTTCAAGTTTGGTGCTATGGTAAGTGCTTCAGGTTTGGTGCTATGGTAAGTGCTTCAAGTTTGGTGCTATGGTAAGTGCTTCAAGTTTGGTGCTATGGTAAGTGCTTCAGGTTTGGTGCTATGGTAAGTGCTTCAAGTTTGGTGCTATGGTAAGTGCTTCAAGTTTGGTGCTATGGTAAGTGCTTCAGGTTGGGTGCTATAATGTTTCAAGTTTGGTGCTATGGTAAGTGGTTCAAGTTTGGTGCTATGGTAAGTGTTTCATTTTCGGTGCTATGGTAAGTGCTTCATGTTAGGTGCTATGGTAAGTGCTTCAAGTTTGGTGCTATGGTAAGTGCTTCAAGTTTGGTGCTATGGTAAGTGCTTAATGTTGGGCACTATGGTAAGTGCTTCATGTTGGGTGCTATGGTAAGTGCTTCAAGTTTGGTGCTATGGTAAGTGCTCCAGGTTTGGTGCTATGGTAAGTGCTTCAAGTTAGGTGCTATGGTAAGTGCTTCAAGTTTGGTGCTATGGTAAGTGCTCCAGGTTTGGTGCTATGGTAAGTGCTTCAAGTTAGGTGCTATGGTAAGTGCTTCAAGTTTGGTGCTATGGTAAGTGCTTCAGGTTTGGTGCTATGGTAAGTGCTTCAAGTTTGGTGCTATGGTAAGTGCTTCAAGTTTGGTGCTATGGTAAGTGCTTCAGGTTTGGTGCTATGGTAAGTGCTTCAAGTTTGGTGCTATGGTAAGTGCTTCAAGTTTGGTGCTATGGTAAGTGCTTCAAGTTTGGTGCTATGGTAAGTGCTTCAGGTTGGGTGCTATAATGTTTCAAGTTTGGTGCTATGGTAAGTGGTTCAAGTTTGGTGCTATGGTAAGTGTTTCATTTTCGGTGCTATGGTAAGTGCTTCATGTTAGGTGCTATGGTAAGTGCTTCAAGTTTGGTGCTATGGTAAGTGCTTCAAGTTTGGTGCTATGGTAAGTGCTTAATGTTGGGCACTATGGTAAGTGCTTCATGTTGGGTGCTATGGTAAGTGCTTCAAGTTTGGTGCTATGGTAAGTGCTTAATGTTGGGCACTATGGTAAGTGCTTCATGTTGGGTGCTATGGTAAGTGTTTCATTTTCGGTGCTATGATAGGTGCTTCATGTTGGGCACTATGGTAAGAGTTTCAAGTTGAGTGCTATGGTAAGTGCTTCAGGTTGGGTGCTACGTGCTGTGTTTTTTGTTTATAGTATCGCTACTAAACCATTAGCTAAAACACCGAACTTAAGAATGATTCTTTAAAAATAATCCCAACTAGACGTGGCTGATATCCCAAGGCAAACTGTATCAAACGTTCCGGCCATACCCTGAATGGTGGATTGATGTCCGCTACACAGAGAAGGGGCTGGTGGATACGAACGGTGATCCATATCATATCCAGTTGTAAGTCAGGCTTTCATTATCAGCTGATCATCTTCTCTTTCATCTACAACATCATTCTCATCATTGATGGCGCGCCATCACAATCTCATCGTCCACGTTATTGTTTGGATAAAGCAAATCAAAACATAATTAAATTCATATGATATGTAAACCTATCAACTGCACATTGATCGCTTCTTAAATGAGCACTTTATTATTGTTCTGTTAAATCAGAGGATAGACTCTACTGCACCTGCAATAATGAATGTTATAACTTAATCAATTCATTAATTCATTAACTTTCCAGCCCAACTACTGCGTTTTACCAGCCGTCCTTGACCGTACCTTGCGGGTACATCTCAAATGATGACGTCAGGTTCGACAACTGTACCCAACACACCGGAGTTATTTGTAAACAGCGGAAAGGTGGGTTGTCTGGTGGGATTGAAGGCTGATTGTCATTCTCAAAGCTGTCTATTTTGTTAAGGATGAGGGATATTTGTGTAAACTTGGTTATTAATTAGGGAGGGGGGATCATTCGAAATTTAAAACCATTAGCTGTGTTTCCGATAATAAAGTTTTGATGTTATGGCTAGTAATAAAGTGGTTCATGTTTCTATCTTCAGATACTGTCTTGTTGTGTGACTACGACGACGGGTGGGTCGCAGTCAACGGCTCATGTCTGCGTCACTCGGTCGTCAAGAAGACATGGAACGACGCAATGTAAGTCTCTTGGTTTTATGGAGGTAATTAGGTCACCTTTTGGGATGTCAATAGGTCACCTTATGAAGGTCAATAGGTCACCTTATGGAGGTCAGTAGGTCACCTATAGAGGTCAATAGGACACATTATGGGGTCAATAGGTCACCTTTTGGGAGGTCAATATGTCACAATATTTCACTATATTGATGCCAAGAGGTCACAATACATATCGACCTAGTGTAGATGTTTTGCCGATTTCTAAAAACTATGTTAAAGAATTTTAAAATAGCTATGCAAAAAAGTTTAGATTACTTTATTGAGGGCAGGTTAACTCCCCCCCACCCCCCAAAAAAATACACATTTAAGTCAGAAATTTTGATTTCTCAAAATCTATTGTTTCCGAAACAGGATTCAACTCTGAACATTTGTGTAGAATTATTTTGCCTAACTACGTATTGCTAGTATTTTTTTAAAATAATTTTTTAATTAATGAGAATAATGACATAATTCACCTATATTAAGCAACATTTGGCAACACAAAAATTAAAAACTAACTAAAATATGTTTTTATGGCTAAGTAAGAGGCTCCAGATGCAACTAATTTAACGAGAGGTTTTAAAAATGACTTTTTTATAAAGTTTTCGCTTTTTTTTTTGCAAATTTAGTAGGCCTATATTTTCATTATTTAGCGCTTTTCTCAAAATGTTACTTTTTAACAAAATTGTACCAGTTAAATCACTTTAGCTAAAAAAAAATAAATAAATTAAAAAAAAGTTCAAAAACTGTTCCCTAAACACTGCGTGTAAAGTAGTTGTAAAATAATTTCTATATCTTTGAAACTTTACATTTTATAAAATAAAATCCTAAATCAACTCCAACTTTTTTTTGACATTTTTAGAGCTCAGATTAAATTTTTTTGGGATAAAATCCATTTATTATTATTTTCAAATTGTTTAAGTTCATCTTTTTTGAATTTGTGTATATTACACTATGTTAAAATTTGTGTTATTCTGACAATTAGAAGCTGTGTTATTGTGATTTCAATGAAAGCTAATTTTGAGCTATTTTACCCTAAAAATGACACTTTTTAGAAAGTATTTTCACAAAACCATAACTTTTTAGTGATTTTTTTGCTTTTTTTTCTCACTTAAAAAAAGTCCTAACACCTAATTTTCAATTTGGGGGTTTAACCTGACCTTAAGTACTGTATTAAATGTAAATAACAGCAACACCCGCTAACGTTATGGCTTATCACATTTTCTTCATTTGGACATGGCTGTTTAGTGTAGTAGCCTGACGAGCTAGAAATGTCTTTGAAGTGGTATCCTGTGAGAGAATAAAGTTCCGAATTGAAAGATACTAGAGGCCACACAGGAAAAGACTTTTGACTAATGTTTTACTACCGAGGTAAGACCACGCAACCTCCGATAAAAGAAATGTTTCTTCTTTCACCAGAACAACTTGTGAGAAACTACAAAGTGCTCTCGCCACAGTCGACAACTCAATCAGGACATCATTTGTATTCCACGAGTCAATGTTTCGCATCTCATGGGTGGGATTCCAGCAGTCGTCTAGTGGGGCTGTAAGTTGTCTGTTGGCTGGTTCTAGTGGGGATGGCATGAATTACAAAAAAAAAAAAAAAAAAAAAAAAAACAAAAAAACCAACACGACATGTTTTCTGTGTTGCAGTTCACATGGAGCAACGGAACTCCTGTAAATACTTCTTTACTACAGCCACAATCAACCCCCAAAAGTGGCAAGTCGGAAAGATGGTAAGTCGGAAAGGTGGTAAGTCGGAAAGGTGGTAAGTCGGAAAGGTGGTAAGTAACACTATTTATCACCATCCACGACCTTTCAGCTTCCTAATCTGAATGGTAATTATTGCAAATTATAGACGACATTGTCTTTTACTACGGGTAAAGCGCTGTACAATACGAACACATGGCACTACGTTTAAGTTAAGAAAGAATGAAAACCACTGTATACATTACCTTGCTATCTTTTAATCGTATAGTATTAGTCTACACAGTAGCACACACAACGCTTTTTGTTTCTCATATTTCTCGACAATTTGTTACCATTTTCTCTAGTGTGCCCACACAGGTCCCTAGATAACTGTAGTTACAATTTTCTCTTGTGTACTCACACAGGTCCCTAGATAACTGTAGTTACAATCTTCTCTTGTATGCTCACACAGGTCCCTAGATAACTGTAGTTACAATTTTCTCTTGTGTACTCACACAGGTCCCTAGATAACTGTAGTTACAATCTTCTCTTGTGTACTCACACAGGTCCCTAGATAACTGTAGTTACAATTTTCTCTTGTGTGCTCACACAGTTCCCTAGATAACTGTAGTTACAATCTTCTCTTGTGTACTCACACAGGTCCCTAGATAACTGTAGTTACAATCTTCTCTTGTGTACTCACACTGGTCCCTAGATAACTGTAGTTACAACCTTCTCTTGTGTACTCACACAGGTCCCTAGATAACTGTAGTTACAATCTTCTCTTGTGTGCTCACACAGTTCCCTAGATAACTGTAGTTACAATCTTCTCTTGTGTACTCACACAGGTCCCTAGATAACTGTAGTTACAATCTTCTCTTGTGTGCTCACACAGTTCCCTAGATAACTGTAGTTACAATCTTCTCTTGTGTGCTCACACAGGTCCCTAGATAACTGTAGTTACAATCTTCTCTGGTGTACTCACACAGGTCCCTAGATAACTGTAGTTACAATCTTCTCTTGTGTACTCACACAGGTCCCTAGATAACTGTAGTTACAATCTTCTCTTGTGTACTCACACAGGTCCCTAGATAACTGTAGTTACAATCTTCTCTTGTGTGCTCACACAGTTCCCTAGATAACTGTAGTTACAATCTTCTCTTGTGTACTCACACAGGTCCCTAGATAACTGTAGTTACAATCTTCTCTTGTGTACTCACACAGGTCCCTAGATAACTGTAGTTACAATTTTCTCTTGTGTGCTCACACAGGTCCCTAGATAACTGTAGTTACAATTTTCTCTTGTGTACTCACACAGGTCCCTAGATAACTGTAGTTACAATCTTCTCTTGTGTACTCACACAGGTCCCTAGATAACTGTAGTTACAATTTTCTCTTGTGTACTCACACAGGTCCCTAGATAACTGTAGTTACAATTTTCTCTTGTGTACTCACACAGGTCCCTAGATAACTGTAGTTACAATTTTCTCTTGTGTGCTCACACAGTTCCCTAGATAACTGTAGTTACAATCTTCTCTTGTGTACTCACACAGGTCCCTAGATAACTGCAGTTACAATCTTCTCTTGTGTACTCACACAGGTCCCTAGATAACTGTTGTTACAATTTTCTCTTGTGTACTCACACAGGTCCCTAGATAACTGGAGTTACAATTTTCTCTTGTGTACTCACACAGGTCCCTAGATAACTGTAGTTACAATCTTCTCTTGTGTACTCACACAGGTCCCTAGATAACTGTAGTTACAATTTTCTCTTGTGTACTCACACAGGTCCCTAGATAACTGTAGTTACAATTTTCTCTTGTGTACTCACACAGGTCCCTAGATAACTGTAGTTACAATTTTCTCTTGTGTGCTCACACAGTTCCCTAGATAACTGTAGTTACAATCTTCTCTTGTGTACTCACACAGGTCCCTAGATAACTGTAGTTACAATTTTCTCTTGTGTGCTCACACAGGTCCCTAGATAACTGTAGTTACAATTTTCTCTTGTGTGCTCACACAGGTCCCTAGATAACTGTAGTTACAATTTTCTCTTGTGTACTCACACAGGTCCCTAGATAACTGTAGTTACAATCTTCTCTTGTGTACTCACACAGGTCCCTAGATAACTGTAGTTACAATCTTTTCTTGTATGCTCACACAGGTCCCTAGATAACTGTAGTTACAATTTTCTCTTGTGTACTCACACAGGTCCCTAGATAACTGTAGTTACAATTTTCTCTTGTGTACTCACACAGGTCCCTAGATAACTGTAGTTACAATTTTCTCTTGTGTACTCACACAGGTCCCTAGATAACTGTAGTTACAATCTTCTCTTGTGTACTCACACAGGTCCCTAGATAACTGTAGTTACAATTTTCTCTTGTGTGCTCACACAGGTCCCTAGATAACTGTAGTTACAATTTTCTCTTGTGTACTCACACAGGTCCCTAGATAACTGTAGTTACAATTTTCTCTTGTGTACTCACACAGGTCCCTAGATAACTGTAGTTACAATTTTCTCTTGTGTACTCACACAGGTCCCTAGATAACTGTAGTTACAATTTTCTCTTGTGTACTCACACAGGTCCCTAGATAACTGTAGTTACAATTTTCTCTTGTGTGCTCACACAGGTCCCTAGATAACTGTAGTTACAATCTTCTCTTGTGTACTCACACAGGTCCCTAGATAACTGTAGTTACCTGAACGTGAGCAGTGCCAGTGAGTACCGTCTGGGTACTGGTGGCTGCATGGAGACCCGGGAGTTCACGTGCGAGAAGATGCAGGGTAGGTGGGAGAGAGGGGTGGAGAGGGTAGGGGTGGAGAGGGTAGGTGGGAGGGGAGGGGTGGAGGGGGTAGGGGTGGAGAGGGTAGGTGGGAGGGTAGGTTGGAGGGTAGGGGTGGAGAGGGTAGGTGGGGGAGGAGGGGTGGAGAGGGTAAGGGTGGAGAGGGTAGGGGTGGAGAGGGTAGGTGGGAGGGGAGGGGTGGAGGGGGTAGGTGGGAGAGGAGGGGTGGAGAGGGTAGGGGTGGAGAGGGTAGGTGGGGGAGGAGGGGTGGAGAGGGTAAGGGTGGAGAGGGTAGGGGTGGAGAGGGTTGGTGGGAGGGGAGGGCCGGAGAGGGTAGGGGTGAAGAGGGTAGGTGGGGGAGGAGGGGTGGAGAGGGTAAGGGTGGAGAGGGTAGGGGTGGAGAGGGTAGGTGGGAGGGGAGGGGTGGAGGGGGTAGGTGGGAGAGGAGGGGTGGAGAGGGTAGGGGTGGAGAGGGTAGGTGGGGGAGGAGGGGTGGAGAGGGTAAGGGTGGAGAAGGTAGGGGTGGAGAGGGTAGGTGGGAGGGGAGGGGTGGAGGGGGTAGGTGGGAGGGGAGGGGTGGGGTGGAGAGGGTAGGGGTGGAGAGGGTAGGGGTGGAGAGGGTTGGTGGGAGGGGAGGGCCGGAGAGGGTAGGGGTGGAGAGGGTAGGTGGGGGAGGAGGGGTGGAGAGGGTAAGGGTGGAGAGGGTAGGGGTGGAGAGGGTAGGTCTGAGGGGAGGGGTGGAGGGGGTAGGTGGGAGAAGAGGGGTGGAGAGGGTAGGGTCGGAGAGGGTAGGTGGGGGAGGAGGGGTGGAGAGGGTAAGGGTGGAGAGGGTAGGGGTGGAGAGGGTAGGTGGGAGGGGAGGGGTGGAGTTGGTAGGTGGGAGGGGAGGGGTGGGGTGGAGAATGTAGGGGTGGAGAGGGTAGGTGGGGGAGGAGGGGTGGAGTGGGTAAGGGTGGAGGTGTAGGGGTGGAGAGGGTAGGGGTGGAGAGGGTAGGTGGGAGGGGAGGGGTGGAGAGGGTAGGGGTGGAGAGGGAAGGGGTGGAGAGGGAAGGGGTGGAGAGGGTAGGTGGGAGGGGAGGGGTGGAGAGGGTAGGGGTGGAGAGGATAGGGGTGGAGAGGGAAGGGGTGGAAAGGGTAGGGGATGGTCACGTGGTGTTACGCCACACAACTGCCACACTTCTTGTTCTATGTAAACACACTCAACACACACAGTCAGGGGACACGTAAGAGACGTAACAGGAAAAGGTTGGGGATGGTTAAACATACATTGGGATTTAACATTCGTGATAAATTTAGCTTTCCTCTTGTATTTATGATAAATTATATTTAAAAAAAAATTCAGAATGAAAGAAATACGGTAAAAACAACGTTAGGGTTGTTTTAAACAGGTTAAAAATGCATGTCACGAAACCCACAAAACAAGTGCATAGAAAACATTTGTAAATTGAGCAACAGACACGTTTAATTGTTATAACCAATTCATACAGAGTACTAACTCGATAAGGACAAGCTCCTCGACATATCTCAAAGCGTGTCTCTATTTTAACACAGCGTCTATCTAACATACCGTGTCTCTATAACCGTCATAACGTATACTTATATAAACATACCGTATATCTATTTTACCAAACCGTATATCTATTTTACCAAACCGTATATCTATTTTACCATACCGTATATCTATTTTACCATACCGTATATCTATTTTACCATAGCGAATATCTATTTTACCATAGCGAATATCTATTTTACCATACCGTATATCTATTTTACCATAGCGAATATCTATTTTACCATAGCGAATATCTATTTTACCATACCGTATATCTATTTTACCATAGCGAATATCTATTTTACCATACAGTATATCTATTTTACCATAGCGAATATCTATTTTACCATAGCGAATATCTATTTTACCATACAGTATATCTATTTTACCATAGCGAATATCTATTTTACCATAGCGAATATCTATTTTACCATACCGTATATCTATTTTACCATAGCGAATATCTATTTTACCATAGCGAATATCTATTTTACCATACCGTATATCTATTTTACCATAGCGAATATCTATTTTACCATACAGTATATCTATTTTACCATAGCGAATATCTATTTTACCATAGCGAATATCTATTTTACCATACAGTATATCTATTTTACCATAGCGAATATCTATTTTACCATAGCGAATATCTATTTTACCATACCGTATATCTATTTTACCATAGCGAATATCTATTTTACCATAGCGAATATCTATTTTACCATAGCGAATATCTATTTTACCATACCGTATATCTATTTTACCATAGCGAATATCTATTTTACCATAGCGAATATCTATTTTACCATAGCGAATATCTATTTTACCATAGCGAATATCTATTTTACCATAGCGAATATCTATTTTACCATAGCGAATATCTTTTTTACCATACCGTTTCTATTTTCACCCGCCAACATTTTTCTCGTGCAGGCCAGTGTCCCGATGGATGGCTCATCTACAGGTCGACCTGCTTCAAGTTTTTCCCAAGAATTGAGATGACCTGTATGGAAGCCAGGAATTATTGTCTCTCTCTGGACGCTGACTTGCTCAAAATCTTATCGTAAGGCAGCTCATCACATACTCGTCAGAGCTATCTCAGCTAGAGGGGAACTACAGTGAAAGGCTTAGTTCTAGTGGGGAATTACAATCAAAGGCCTTCATCTAGAGGGGAATTTCAGTAAAAAACAATACATTGGTAAACTCAAAAACATCGGTCAAATGACAAATTTTTGAAGAAGTCTAAATGTCCACTTAACTATTAATTATTGCTTTAGTTTTATGAATGAATAAGTAATGCTAATATTAAAATATTAAAATTAATGTAATTCAGTTCTATCATTTGCGTGAGAAGATTTTCTGTAACTTAAAGGGCAGGTATTCAGATGAAAGTTAACGAACTTCTCTCAGAATTCGAAGCAATGTCTGTCAATTATTTCTGGATTGGAATATCAGGTTAGTGACAAAGTTAATTAATTAAAAGCTAGACAATAATACTTAGATTGATCAAAGTAAATTAATTAAAAGCTAGACAACACTACTTAGGTTGATCATAGTTAATTAATTAAAATCTAGACAACACTACTTAGGTTGATGAAGCTCAATAGACGAACACAGTTACCAATCTATTAGAGAAAATAAATCCAAAATCAAATACCTGCTGCCTTGCTGATAGTCCTTGGGTGGACGAAGCACAAATGCTATGGAAAAAATTCAGATGCGAAACATGATGATGTCGACAAACCATTAGGCGCGTAACATGTTGACACGTCAAACTTAATTGTGTTGGAGGAAATTCCTAGCAAATTTAATAACAAGAACGAAGAAGATGTAGAAATAAACCGGGAGTGATCTCCCCTAAACTTTCTCGAATATTCTTATATAAAATAACAGGGGATGGGAACTCGGGCTATAGACATGATTTTTAATCCATTTTAAATACTTAAAGTTTTAAAAATAGAATAAAATGTCGTAGACAAATTAATTGCACACCAAGTGAACGCCAAATAAAAAAGCGCATAATAGTGCGCAATATTATTAGTACTTTTAAAATTTACATTAGTTTTTTGAGAAATCGGAAGTAGCGTAAAGTACTACTTCCAGTCAACGGAAATTACTCAAAATTTAACAGAAGGTAGAGAATTAGATCTTTTACTTACATGTGAAATTTCATTTATCTATCTGAAATAGTACTCAAGTTATAGGCTTTTGAAAAATTCAAAGTAGGAAAAGTACCACTTCCGGTTATCGGAAATCGCTCAAAAGTTGATACGAATCTACGATTTTGATAAAATACTTATATATGAAATTTCATCAACCTAGCTGTAACGGTACTCAAGTTATCGTGTTTACACACGGCCAGACAGACAGACAGACACACAGACAGACACACAGACATACGGACAAGATTGCAAAATTATGTTTTTCCGTATCAGTGAGGTGTAAAACGTCGAGATTTGTAAAAATCTCGATTTTTTTTTGCACGATTACAAGACTTTCTCTATACTTCGTATATACGAGAAAGTAAAAAAGACAAAAATAAATAAACTTCAAATTTACTGAACCAAACAATGAAATATAATTAAAATTTGATAACTATACCCAAACTGCAGAGGCGTAGCGAGGGGGGGGACATGTCCCCGGGCGCCGACCTTACGGGGGGGGGGGGCGCCAAAATGGGTTGGAAAAAAAATTGACAGTTTGAGGGGGGTATAAACGAAAAGTTGGAGGGGGGGGGGGGTGCAAATCAAATGTTCGAGGGGGGGTGCAAATCGAAAGTTGCTACGCCTCTGCCAAACTGAATGAGCTATATGTTATAAATCACATACAAATCACCTTGTACAAGGTATATGATAAAATATATACAAATCAACTTGTACAAGGTATATGATAAAATATATACAAATCAACTTGTACAAGGTATATGATAAAATATATACACATTAAACTGTATAAGCTGTATGATAAAAGACATACACATCAAACTGTATAAACCAGATTTTCCTGGCATGGAGTTCTTCAAATGGGTAGACGGAACCCCAGTCAGTAACTATGACAACTGGAGCTTAAATCCCCCAGTGAATGTCGCTGGTCTACAGGAGTGTGCCTATATTGACACAGGCAAGTACACGGCTAGAATAGGTTAGGTTTAGGTGATTGGTAGCATAGGCTAGATTAGGTTAGGCTTAGGTGTGGGATAGTACACAGCTAGATTAGGTTAGGTTTGGGTGTGGGATAGTACACGGCTAGATTAGAAGGTTAGGCTTAGGTGAGGGATAGTACACGGCTAGATTAGGTTAGGCTTAGATAGTACACGGCTAGATTAGGTTAGGTTTAGGTGTGGGATAGTACACGGCTAGATTAGGTTAGGTTTAGGTGATTGGTAGCATAGGCTAGATTAGGTTAGGTTTAGGTGTGGGATAGTACACGGCTAGATTAGGTTAGGCTTAGGTGTGGGATAGTACACGGCTAGATTAGGTTAGGTTTAGGTGTTGGATAGTACACGGCTAGATTAGGTTAGGTTTAGGTGAGTGATAGTACACGGCTAGATTAGGTTAGGTTTAGGTGAGTGATAGTACACGGCTAGATTAGGTTAGGTTTAGGTGAGTGATAGTACACGGCTAGTTCAGAAGGTTAGGTTTAGGTGTGGGATAGTACACGGCTAGATTAGGTTAGGTTTAGGTGAGTGATAGTACACGGCTAGATTAGGTTAGGTTTAGGTGAGTGATAGTACACGGCTAGATTAAGTTAGGTTTAGGTGTGGGATAGTACACGGCTAGTTCAGAAGGTTAGGTTTAGGTGATGGGATAGTACACGGCTAGATTAGGTTAGGTTTAGGTGAGTGATAGTACACGGCTAGATTAGGTTAGGTTTAGGTGAGTGATAGTACACGGCTAGTTCAGAAGGTTAGGCTTAGGTGTGGGATAGTACATGGCTAGTTCAGGTTAGGTTTGGGTGTGGGATAGTACACGGCTAGATTAGAAGGTTAGGTTTATGTGATGTGTAGCATAAGGCTTGTTTAAGTTTAAGATAACATAAAATGTAGAAATCAGTAAATTCTTTCTATCTAACTGTTGCATTAGTTTTAAAAAAAAAACGCAAGTACTAAATCACATTTCTTTCCAACTGTTGCATCTGTTTTCTGTAGCCGATCCTTTAGGCAAGTGGCGAGTGGACAGTGCTCTACGGTACAAACCTTTTGGCTGCAGTAGAGCTGCCAGTAAACCAATAGGTCACGCCAACCTTAGACCAGGTACCTGGTTGTTGACCTTATTAGTTAAGTTACGTTAGGTCAATGTGTTGAGTGATTGACATAAATTACTTTAAGTTACCTTAGGTCAATGTGTTGAGTGATTGACGCAAATTACTTTAAGTTACTTTAGGTCAATGTGTTGAGTGATTGACATAAATTACGTTAAGTTACTTTAGGTCAATGTGTTGAGTGATTGACATAAATTACTGTAAGTTACCTTAGGTCAATGTGTTGAATGATTGACACAAATTACTTTAAGTTACCTTAGGTCAATGTGTTGAGTGATTGACATAAATTACTTTAAGTTACCTTAGGTCAAAATGTTGAGTGATTGATACACATTACGTTTGTTAGCTTAGATCAAAGTGTTGAATGATTGCCATAGATTACATTCAGTTACCTTAGATCAATGTGTTGAATGATTGACATAAATTAAGTTGAGTTAGTGTAGAGCGTCCATTCTATCTGAAAGCTTTGTGTCTTCCATGGCAAAACTCATCCTATATTAATGTTGGTGAATATCGCTTTACCAGTTTATTTAACCTAGAGACGAGTTCCATGTAGCAGACATGACACCACTTTTTGTGCAGGTGAAGCAGACTGTGAGGACGGCTGGAGAGTCGTTGGTGACTCCTGCATCTACATCAGTGGCGTCATCACTGACTGGGTAGACGCAACTACAAAATGTGCGTCTTTGAACAGTCAAGTTGCCGTCATTAAGACACAAGACGCCTACAGAAATTTGGCCGGTAAAACATGTTTTCTTTGGTGTAGTTAGTCCCTCTGGTAATTTGCTAGGGTCGACTTAAACAGAAATTTGGCCGGTAAAACATGTTTTTCTTTAGTGTAGTTAGTCCCTCTGGTAATTTGCTAGGGTCGACTTAAACAGAAATTTGGCCGGTAAAACATGTTTTCTTTGGTGTAGTTAGTCCCTCTGGTAATTTGCTAGGGTCGACTTGAACTTTGTAGCAGTTCATGTAAAGGCGGAATATAATTAAAACAAAAACTTAGTAGAATATACACAATGTTAACGAGTTTTAAATCAATTTTGTATAAGTCAGAATGTTAACTGTTTCGAAAAGACTGTATAAAAAGGTTAATTTTTCCAAACAGATATAATAAAACACGCAATGTTAACTTTTTCAAACAGATATCATAAAACACGGAATGTTCTACATTGGGCTACAGTACACAGAGACACAATTCTCTTACAGGTGGATCAATGGGTCTTGGGTGAGTTTTTTGTAGTACTGTGTTCTTGTGTTATGTGTTACTGTGTGTCCTTGTGTTATGTGTTACTGTGTGTCCTTGTGTTATGTACTACTGTGTGTCCTTGTGTTATGTGCTACTGTGTGTCCTTGTGTTACGTGCTACTGTGTGTCCTTGTGTTATGTGCTACTGTGTGTCCTTGTGTTATGTACTACTGTGTGTCCTTGTGTTATGTGCTACTGTGTGTCCTTGTGTTATGTGCTACTGTGTGTCCTTGTGTTACGTGCTACTGTGTGTCCTTGTGTTATGTGCTACTGTGTGTCCTTGTGTTATGTACTACTGTGTGTCCTTGTGTTATGTGTTACTGTGTGTCCGTGTGTTATGTGCTACTGTGTTACCTTGTGTTATGTGCTACTGTGTTACCTTGTGTTATGTGCTACTGTGTTACCTTGTGTTACGTGCTACTGTGTTACCTTGTGTTATGTGCTACTGTGTTACCTTGTGTTACGTGCTACTGTGTTACCTTGTGTTATGTGCTACTGTGTTACCTTGTGTTATGTGCTACTGTGTTACCTTGTGTTATGTGCTACTGTGTTACCTTGTGTTATGTGCTACTGTGTTACCTTGTGTTATGTGAGCTACTGTGTGTCCTTGTGTTATGTGAGCTACTGTGTGTCCTTGTGTTATGTGCTACTGTGTGTCCTTGTGTTATGTGCTACTGTGTGTCCGTGTGTTATGTGCTACTGTGTTACCTTGTGTTATGTGCTACTGAAAACTGTTCATTTGAAGGAATTTAATATTTAAGAAATAAAAAAAAATTCTTTTTGATAAAAAGCATATGAAAGTATTTAATAGAATTGTTAGTTTTCGTCAAAGTTAATTTATTAACATATAATTATAAAAAAACCTTCTTTACCTGACTTGGCAAGATAGAAATCCTAAATAATTGTTTGTTAGTTTCTCACTTATTAAAACAACCTAGCGTTTAATTTTAAATGAGTTTAACCTGCACCACAGCCCCACCCCCTGTCGAATTGTTCTGACGTGTTTTCCAGCCCTACGTCACCCAGTGGGAGGCGGGTCAACCAACAGACCCACTCATCAATCGGTGCGTGGTTCTAATTGCTAATGAGAGCCACCATGTTTGGCGGAGTGTGGAGTGTACTGACCTCGTGCCGGGTGTACTGTGTCAGCGGAATAAAAGTAGGTCACATGAGTGTAGCATTTAACATAACCGTAAAGTAGGTCATTGGGATGTCACAGTTAAACGAGTGCTAAAGTAGGTCATTGTCAGAATTTAACTTAATAAAGTAGGTCACTTTGCATACCAGTTAAACCTGTTTAAAGTAGGTCATCGAAGTCTCATAGCTAAACTAGATTTGAGGTTGGTCACTTGGTTTAAGACTATTACAGTCTTACTTTTATGAGTAGTTCTCTGAGGTTTTATATTCACACGTTCAATGAACATTTTTACATTGGAAGAGCTGACAAAAATGTTAAAACGCGATGGTTGAACTGTCCAAGCATAGCAAACTACTTACGTTACAAGAGTTAATGAAACCGTTCGTTGGGTCTCACATTTAAACTTAAGAAAGTAGGTTACTCTGCCTTTAACAGTTAATCCCAATTTAAAGTAGGTCATTGTAGTGTCAATGGGTGCCACAGAATAAAGTAGGTCACTACGTTAGTGTAAAAGTATGTCCCTAGGATGTTACAGTCCAACTTTTAAACTTTGTGTGTGTGTTATATCCTATATGTGCATACGTCAACATTAGATGACGACAAATAATGTTAAATGGCGAAAATTGATGCCTGGGTAGTTCTGTATTGGCAAATTGTAAACTTGTATTGTGTTTGCTATAGCACAGAAGTTGACATTTTCTAAATGAAATAACTTATTTTCACACACTTTTATATTTATTTTCTTTAATATATTTTATCTACAGCCGTCACACATACAATAGAAGGTAAGTTTTTTCTTTTGGTTTAAAATACTTTAAATATCGTAACACAGTAGGGCTAATTTTTTTTTGGCTTGAAATTATTTGGATACTGTTACACAATATATAGTTGGATATTGTTACACAATATATAGTTTTCTGTTTAAAATAATATAAATTTTTTTAGACTTGTAGTGTGATCTATACACACGCCTCATACAACAGCTAAACGAATTTCAAAATAAAATATGTTAAGGCGAAACTTACATTAATTATGTAACAACAACCAGTTTGACAAATAAATAACACATTAAGAGATGCCATAACAAGGATATACAAACTTGTTACAAAAAAGCAGGTCTGTTATTAATTTCTGAGACTCACAGAACAAACTTGCCCCTTTTACTATTTTGTTAATTTAAATCTAAAGTAATCGTTTCACCATTATGTGTAGCAAAGTGTACAAATCTAAAACAATCTTTTCACAATACGATGAAACAAAGTGTTCAAATCTAAAGTAATCATTTCACCATTATATGTGTCAAAGTGTACAAATCTAAAACAATCTTTTCACAATACGATGAAACAAAGTGTTCAAGTCTAAAGTAATCGTTTCACCATCAGATGGGGCAATGTTTTCATCACAATGAATGGACCATTTAATACTGCAGATCCGTACAGTGAAAAATGTGGCCAATCTTGGGTTGAAAGGTCAGGGACAGACTTTTGTTACCAGTTTAGAGACTTGAGCACAACATGGGATGAAGCAGTGATGATTTGCAGCAACCAGAATGGGAGCTTGGCCAGCATCACGTCACAGGAGGAACAGAGGTTTATAGAAGGTATAATTATCTTAAGATTGTAATCGACTAATGAGTATTATATAAGTGAGTCATTATAATCTTAAGTTTTCAAAATACATTTTTTAAAAAGTATACTAATAAGGACCGGTACCCTAAAACATTTTACTAGCTCTAGTGGTATCAAATTAAATGGAATGTTAACTGTAAATATAACGATGAAGGCCTATTTACATTTACACTGAGTAACAATGTTAAAATGTCAATAAAAACCAACTAACCAACGGACCAACCGACCAACCGCTCAAATAACCAACCAACCAACCGACCAACTGACTAAATAACCAAATAACCAAATGACCCACTGATCCACTGACTCACTGACACACTAACCCACTAACCAACTGACCAACTGACCTACTAACCCACTAACCTACTGACCAACTGACCAACTGACCAACTGACCTACTAACTCACTGATCAATCGACCAACTGACCCACTAACCCACTGACCTACTGACCCTCCCACCCATTGAGCAGAACGTCTAAGTGTGAAGGATGGAGTGGGGTTGTGGTTAGGCGCCCATGAAAAGTACAAGGAGTATGGCTGGACGTGGTTGGATGGCGCTCCTTTTGTATTCAAGAACTGGCAGCCAGGTTTGTAGGGTTGTATGTTGGTGGGGTTGTAGGTGTGTGGTGTTGTGGGGTTGTATTTGTGGGGTTGTAGGGTGGTTTGGGGTTGTAGGATTGTATGTTTGTGGGGTTGTGGGGTTGTATGTTTGTATGTTTGTAGGGTTGTATGTTTGTGGGGTTGTTGGTTTGTGGAGTTCTTGGGTTGTATTTGTGGGGTTGTATGGTTGTATGTTTGTGGGGTTGTAGGTTTATGGAGTATTTTATTTGTGGTATTCTAAATTAAATTTATTGAGTTGACAGAAAAAGTGTATAATTTTTGCTTGTTCTCGTTCTGGTAAAATACCTTTTTTTGTTAGATCAATCACGTCCCATGTAAATCACTAACGTAAAACTAAACAATGTAAAATTATTTATCTCATGACCTAGCCGTTTATACACTCCACATCACAACCTGCGCCGTCATATCCACATCCACTAAAATGTGGCAGAAAAGAAGTTGTTCTAATCCACATGGATTCATCTGCAAGAAGAAAGGTGAGAGGTTCACATTCTTAATTAAACTAACTCATTAATAATCAACTTATTAAATGAAACAACGATTGAGCCAAGCTAATTATCGTAATCTTTACCACGACTGGTTCAAGATAGTAAGCTTAATCTTGACATGGACTGGTTCAAGTTAATGAACTTAATCTTGACATGGACTGGTTCACGTTAATGAACTTAATCTTGACCTTGCGGCTTGATATGACTGTTGTTGTTCTCCCTCTACAGTGGGTGATGCTGCCGTGACCATAGAGGTACAAACTACACCTCCAGGAGTGTCAGGTCAGTTAAAAACATAAATTATAAATAACTCGTTTCTTCTTTGATCAACGATTTCCTACATTCGTCAATGTTTCTCTACAAATAAAATTACTACTTAATGAAACAAACATAAATCGACAAGCACGTTCTGGATTAATTAACATCTGCTCTTTAACAGTGATTATCACATCACTGAATGATACCCTGAATTCGTCAGTCCCTTCAGTATAACTCCTATCCCTAAATGAGTCTGCGAAAAACGCCCGAAAGACATTTGCACGAATGTCGTGTGTCCGAAGGCCGTGTTTCTATTTGTGCAAACGTCCATTTGTGAAAACAGTCTTAGAGCAATCGTCCGTTAGGAAAAAAAAAAACGTCCTTCAGTCTCACGGCATTCGGGCTAGTGTCTTGCGGGCAATCGCCCGAAACCCCACACCCCACTAACCAACCCTACACCCCACTAACCAACCTTCACCACAGCCCACTAACCAACCTTCATTACACCCCACTAACCAACCCTACACCCCACTAACCAACCTTCACCACAGCCCACTAACCAACCCTACACCGCACTAACCAACCTTCCCCACACCCCACTAACCAACCTTCCCCACAGCCCACTAACCAACCCTACACCCAACTAACCAACCTTCACCACACCCCACTAACCAACCCTACACCCCACTAACCAACCTTCACCACAGCCCACTAACCAACCCTACACCGCACTAACCAACCTTCCCCACACCCCACTAACCAACCTTCCCCACAGCCCACTAACCAACCCTACACCCAACTAACCAACCTTCACCACACCCCACTAACCAACCTTCACCACACCCCACTAACCAACCTTCACCACACCCCACTAACCAACCTTCACCACACCCCACTAACCAACCTTCACCACAACCCACTAACCAACATTTATCACACCCCACTAACCAACCACACCCCACTAACCAACCTTGACCACACCCCCAGGGTCAGGCTAACCCCACTAACCAACCTTCACCACACCCCACTAACCAACCTTCACCACACCCAACTAACCAACCTTCACCACACCCCACTAACCAACCCTACACCCCACTAACCAACCTTCACCACAGCCCACTAACCAACCCTACACCGCACTAACCAACCTTCCCCACACCCCACTAACCAACCTTCCCCACAGCCCACTAACCAACCCTACACCCAACTAACCAACCTTCACCACACCCCACTAACCAACCTTCACCACACCCCACTAACCAACCTTCACCACACCCCACTAACCAACCTTCACCACACCCCACTAACCAACCTTTACCACACCCCACTAACCAACCTTGACCACAACCCACTAATCAACCTTGACCACACCCCCAGGGTCAGGCTACATGGGCTGTCCAGCAGGATGGGACCTGTACAACAGCCAGTGCTACATGACCCAGGTCCAGCACGTGACGTGGAGTGAGGCACAAGCCTGGTGTAAAGATCAAAACTCACATCTCGCTAAACTTGAATCGTTCAGGGAGAACTTCTTCCTCTGGGGCAGTTTACCGCAAAGTTTGTTTTCTTTACCTCAAAGTTTGTTTTCTTTACCTCAAAGTTTGTTTTCTTTACCTAGGAGTTTGTTTTCTTTAAAGTTTGTTTTCTTTACCTCAAAGTTTGTTTTCTTTACCTTAAAGTTTATTTTCTTTACCTCAAAGTTTGTTTTCTTTACGTCAAAGTTTGTTTTCTTTAAAGTTTGTTTTCTTTACCTCAAAGTTTATTTTCTTTACCTAGGAGTTTGTTTTCTTTAAAGTTTGTTTTCTTTACCTCAAAGTTTGTTTTCTTTAAAGTTTGTTTTCTTTACTTCAAAGTTTGTTTTCTTTACATAGTAGTTTGTTTTCTTTAAAGTTTGTTTTCTTTACCTGAAAGTTTGTTTTCTTTACGTCAAAGTTTGTTTTCTTTACCTCAAAGTTTGTTTTCTTTACTTCATAGTTTGTTATCTTTACCTCATAGTTTGTTTTCTTTACTTCATAGTTTGTTTTCTTTACCTGAAAGTTTGTTTTCTTTACCTCAAAGTTTGTTTTTTTTACCTCAAAGTTTGTTTTCTTTACGGTAAAGTTTGTTTTTTTTACCTCAAAGTTTGTTTTCTTTAACTCAATGTTTGTTTTCTTTACTTCATAGTTTGTTTTCTTTACCTGAAAGTTTGTTTTCTTTACCTCAAAGTTTGTTTTGTTTACCTCAAAGTTTGTTTTCTTTACCTCATAGTTTGTTTCCTTTACCTCAAAGTTTGTTTTCTGTACCTTATAGTTTCTTTTTACCTCAAAGTTTGTTTTCTTTACCTCAAAGTTTGTTTTCTTTACCTCAAAGTTTGTTTTCTTTACCTCAAAGTTTCTTTTTACCTCAAAGTTTGTTTTCTTTACCTCAAAGTTTCTTTATACCTCAAAGTTTGTTTTCTTTACCTCAAAGTTTGTTTTCTTTACCTCAAAGTTTGTTTTCTTTACCTCAAAGTTTCTTTTTACCTCAAAGTTTGTTTTCTTTACCTCAAAGTTTGTTTTCTTACCTCAAAGCTTGTTTTCTTTACCTTAAAGTGTTTTTTTCCCATTTACTGTTTCTTAATATAACTATCAATATAAAAAAAGGTAAGCAGTTGTTACAGATTTTATGCAAAGTTACATTGTTATATCGAATCCTGTCCATAAATCCTTCTCCAATTACACAAATCCCTGCTCCCACACATCCCTGCTCCCATTACACAAATCACTGCTCCCATTATATACATCCCTGCTCCCATTTTATACATCCCTGCTCCCATTATACACATCCCTGCTCCCATTATAAACATCCCTGCTCCCTTATATTCCTGCTCCCATTATACACATCCCTGCTCCCATTTCAGCCAGCCCAGAAAGCGGATTCTGGATCGGTTTGAAAAAAAACCATTCGGACAAAATCTTTCGATGGACGGACAACTCTGCTGCATCACTCACAAACTGGAACTATGATTCTCAAATCACTCAGATCTCATTGACAAGTGTGGGGCCGTGTGTTGCTGTGAACACGAGGGTCGGTATATCATCCAGTTAAAGACTACCACACCTATCATCCAGTTAAAGACTACCACACCTATCACCCAATTAAAGACTACCACACTTATCATCCAGTTAAAGACTACCACGCCTATCACCCAATTAAAGGGCTCCACTCTTACAATAAAATTAAAAAGCTCCTCTCCTATAATCCACTTAAAGAGCTCAACTCTTATAATCCAATTAAAGACTTTCACTCATTGTTTTTAGATTACCTATTTTATTTTAGGCGTCGAGCAAATTTCGAATATATGGGCTATTCTTCCGTTTAATATTACTATTATGAAATCAGTACTTGACTACTTAAAATGTAAAAATAAAGACAGAACAGAAACATGTCTACATATTTTAAAACCTAGAGAGTAAGCTTTCAGATTTAAAAAAATTAAAACCTAGAGTGTAAGCTTTGAGATTAAATTTTTTTTTAAAACCTAGAGAGTAAGCTTTGAGATTTAAAAAATTTAAAACCTAGAGTGTAAGCTTTGAGATTAAATTTTTTTATAAAACCTAGAGTGTATAAGCTTTGAGATTTAATCCCATCCTTAAAATTTGGGACAGGATGGGAAATGGGATGAAGTTGACTGTAACACCAAGATGGCGGGATACGTCTGTATGAGACCAGCTGAAACACTGAGTTATCCTTCCTTGCCCTTCTACAGGGTCGGATGTAGTTATGTAAGTTGATTGGGTGTGTGGTAAGTTGATAAAATGCTGTGGTAAGTTGATTAAATGCTGTGGTAAGTTGATTGATTAACTGCTGTGGTAAATTGATTAACTGCTGTGGTAAGTTGATTGAGTGTGTGGTAAGTTGATTAACTGCTATGGTAAGTTGATTGGATGTGTGGTAAGTTGTTTGGCTTCTTCTTCTTAAGAACTTGATTCGTTTCTAAGAAAATTTAATTAGCTTAAGAGGTAATTTGATTGCTTAAGTTGGGAATCTAATTACTTTGCTAGTGGTAGTCGATTGACAACTGAAACAAGTTAAATAGCAGCTGTGTTAATTTCATTCTAATACTCCATTTTGAGAGCATTATTCATTTTTTAAATACATTTGACTATCCTTACATTAAATTAACTGCTTTGTTTGACACTTCTGGTCTGTACAGGACAGCTTCGGTTACGGGCCTTCGTGTTTCACAGTTTATGACGCGGAGAAGACCTGGGATGACGCCCAGTCTTCCTGTCAGTCAGTCAAAGGTCATCTGGCAGTCATTCCTGATGGGTGAGTTCTGCTCAGACAAATAGGATCTTTTTGTGGAAAATGGCAGTTTAAAAATGTGTAGATAATTTTTGAAATGTTATCGAGATTTTCAATGTCACTTACTGGACAGTTAGAAGAAAAAAAACGTTGCTGTAGTTCTTAAAGTCTGTTTGTTGTTGTAGAACTATATCGTCTGTCTGTTGTTGTAGTATCATAACGTATGTTGTTGTAGCACCATAACGTCTGTTGTTGTAGTACCATAACGTCTATTATTGTAGTACCATAACATCTGTCTGTTGTTGTAGTACCATAACGTCTATTATTGTAGTACCAAAACGTCTGTTGTTGTAGTACCATAACGTCTGTTGTTGTAGTACCATAACGTCTGTTGTTGTAGTACCATAACGTCTGTTGCTGTAGTACCATAACGTCTGTTGTTGTTGCTGTAGTACCATAACGTCTGTCTGTTCCTGTAGTACCATAACTTCTGTTGTTGTTGCTGTAGTACCATAACGTCTGCTGTTGTAGTACCATAATTTCTGCTGTTGTCGCCAGTCAAACGAATGCCTTCATCAAGTCCCAGCTACCGGAAGAAAGAAGTTCCTACTGGATCGGTTTGTCAACTACCAGTGACAGCATCGCTTGGGTCAATGACCAGATTATCACCTATCTTCCAATTAGCCTTGTGTCCAGCTGTAATACCAGAACATTTTACTTTCTCGTTAATTTTTTATTTATTTAAAGCATATTTAAAATCGGATATTTATATAATAAAATAATCTATTTCTATCTTGGTTGAGTGAAGAAAAACAAAATTAAATTTATATTACAAAGGTTTAGCTCTCAGTTGTATAGTTGGTTACTTAAGCTCAGGGATAACTAATTTCTTAATGTCGTCTTTGGTCAAACACCTTACTGTGTTTTTTTTTGGTGTTGGGAAACTCGCTGAATAAGGGAATGTCGCAGTTCGCTAAATTAGGGGATTTGGTAGTTGGTTAAATTAGGGAGTGTGGTAGTTTGTTAAATTAGGGAGTGTGGTAGTTTGTTAAATTAAGGAATGTGGTAGTTGGTTAAATTAGGGAGTGTGGTAGTTTGTTAAATTACGAACTCTCCCAGTTGATTTATTTGAGGAATGTAGCAATTGGTTAAATTAGGGAATGTGGTAGTTTGTTAAATTACGAACTCTCCCAGTTGATTTAATTAAGGAATGTAGCAATTGGTTAAATCCGGGAATGTGGTAGTTTGTTAAATTACGAACTCTCCCAGTTGATTTAATTAAGGAATGTAGCAATTGGTTAAATCCGGTAATGTGGTAGTTTGTTAAATTACGAACTCTCCCAGTTGATTTAATTAAGGAATGTAGCAATTGGTTAAATTAGGGAGTGTGGTAGTTTGTTAAATTACGAACTCTCCCAGTTGATTTATTTGAGGAATGTAGCAATTGGTTAAATTAGGGAATGTGGTAGTTTGTTAAATTACGAACTCTCCCAGTTGATTTATTTGAGGAATGTAGCAATTGGTTAAATTAGGGAATGTGGTAGTTTGTTAAATTACGAACTCTCCCAGTTGATTTAATTAAGGAATGTAGCAATTGGTTAAATCCGGGAATGTGGTAGTTTGTTAAATTACGAACTCTCCCAGTTGATTTAATTAAGGAATGTAGCAATTGGTTAAATCCGGGAATGTGGTAGTTTGTTAAATTACGAACTCTCCCAGTTGATTTAATTGAGGAATGTAGCAATTGGTTAAATCAGGGAATGTCGTATTTAGTTACATTGGAGCATGTGCCAGTGGATAAGGAATATTTTGGCTGGTCAAATCTGAGTGTGTTGCTTTGGTTGTATGATAGGATGGACTATACTTACAAAAGTACATTTTCCTAAAGTTCGAATGTTTGTGTATGTATGTGTCTGTGTGTGTGTATGTTTGTGTCTCTTTGTGTGTTTGTGTATGCATGTGTATGTGTGTGTCTCTGTGTGTGTTTGTGTATGTATGTGTATGTGTGTGTCCTCTGTGTGTGTTCGTGTATGTATGTGTATGTGTGTGTGTATGTATGTATGTGTGTGTCTCTCTCTCTCTCTCTGTGTTTGTGTATGAATGTGTATGTGTGTTTGTCTGTATGTATGTGTATGTATGTGTATGTGTGTGTGTCTGTATGTATGTGTGTGCGTCTCTCTGTGTGAAGCGCCAAACCCCACTCGCTGTACAAGTGTTTTCTCCCATCTCTTATTCCTCTCGTACATTTATGATCGCAGACGTATCCCTCAACGCCTGTTACGTCATGGACTCTTCTGCCTGGTTAAACAGCTGGTACGATAGAGAATGTGATGGTAACGAATCTTTTATCTGTCAGTCAAGTCGCCAAGGGTACATCAGACCATCGGTCACGACATCCACGTCATCCACACAGACGTGTCCACAGAACTGGAAGCTGTTTGGGGACCGCTGCTATTACGTAATATAAATTAATAAATAAATAAATAGATATGCATATTATATACATCTATAAATGTATATATGTATATATACTTTTAAATTCATTTATGCAGATACATTTACATATATATATATATATATATATATATATATATATATATATATATATATATATATATATATATATATATATATATATGTGTGTGTGTGTGTGCCAGTATTTTTTAAAAAGTTTAGTAACATACCTGTTTTCTTATCCCACATATGTCTGCGTAATCATTAAATCATGTATATTAATCTCAGAGCTATCAACACAATCATTTATTAATGATCGTAATTCAAGACTTTAAAGCAAGGAGCATCGTCATTAATTAATACCTCGTTGAAAACAATTTTTATTCAGAACATTCTTGTTAAAATAACCTTACACAGAATGACCTTGTTAAAGTAACCTTGCAAATAATGACCTTGTTAAAATAATCTTGCAAATAATAACCTTGTTAAAATAACCTTGCATATAATGACTTTGTTAAAATAACCTTGCAAATAATAACCTTGTTAAAATAACCTTGCAAATAATGACCTTGTTAAAATAATCTTGCAAATAATAACCTTGTTAAAATAACCTTGCATATAATGACCTTGTTAAAATAACCTTGCAAATAATAACCTTGTTAAAATAACCTTGCAAATAATAACCTTGTTAAAATAACCTTGCATATAATGACCTTGTAAAAATAACCTTGCAAATAATAACCTTGTTAAAATAACCTTGGAAATAATAACCTTGTTAAAATAACCTTGCAAATAATAACCTTATTAAAATAACCTTGCATATAATGACCTTGTTAAAATAACCTTGCAAATAATAACCTTGTCAAAATAAACTTGTATATAATGACCTTGTTAAAATAACCTTGCACATAATGACCTTGTTAAAATAACCTTGCAAATAATAACCTTGTCAAAATAACCTTGCATATAATGACCTTGTAATAATAAACTTGCAAATAATAACCTTGTTTACATAACTTTGCAAATTATACCCTTGTTAAAATTACCTTGTTAAAATAACCCTTCACATAATAACCCTTCACATAATAACCTTATTAAAATAACCTTGTTAAAATAACCTTGCATATAATGACCTAGTTAAAATAACATTGTAGATAGTGACCTTGTAAAAATAACCTTGCACGAAATAACTTTGTTAAAATATCCTTGAAAAAAATGACCTTGTTAAAATAACCTTACGCAGAATGATCTTGTTAAAATAACCTGGCACTTAATAACGTTGTTAAAATAACCTTGCATATAATGACCTTGTTAAAATAACCTTTCACATAGTGACCTTGTTAAAATAACCTTTCACATAGTGACCTTGTTAAAATAACCTTGCATTTAGTGACCTTGTTAAAATAACCTTTCACATAGTGACCTTGTTAAAATAACCTTGCATATAGTGACCTTGTTAAAATAACCTTGCATTTAGTGACCTTGTTAAAATAACCTTGCATATAGTGACCTTGTTAAAATAACCTTGCATATAGTGACCTTGTTAAAATAACCTTGCATATAGTGACCTTGTTAAAATAACCTTGCATTTAGTGACCTTGTTAAAATAACCTTTCACATAGTGACCTTGTTAAAATAACCTTTCACATAGTGACCTTGTTAAATATTTACCTGCAGATCTCCCTGGACAAGCAGAGCATGCGAGATGCCGAGAGGGCCTGCCAGAGTTTTGGCACTAGCCTAGCCAGCATCCACACTGACCACCAGACGATTCTACTCACCTATGAATTCTCCAGGTTAAGGTAAGGTTAACGTCCTACGTGCATTAGGTAGATTTTCATCTAAACTCTCTGGATTTAGGAGGGTTAGGTTTGACGTCCTACGTGCATTTGGTAGTTTTAACTTTCGTCTAAACTGTCTATATTTTGGCAGTTTTAGGATTTGTAGCGATCATGCATTCTAGTTGTCTAAGCGTTATATATTTAGGCTAAAACGTTATAAGCAACAAGGCATGTTAAGACCTGTTAAGAAGTGGGCATGGGTTAGTACAGCCGGGAACAACTGTAAAGCACACATTGGTAAATGTGCGGTACACAGCTTCTAACAATTCCTTAAATAACATTTGTTTCTACAAATGTTTCAAATACTTAGAATATTAATGAAAAAATACCATGTTATACGGAGCACATCTAGAATTGTTATAGTTCACTCTGATTATGGACTTTGAATAACTTTTAAAGAATGAAAATCTGACTCCACAGTGATTCCAGAAGTTTCTGGATAGGCCTCTACATGGACAACGGATCCACAGGTCAGTTGATGGCAGTGTCTCATTGTTAACTTAATGACTCAAGGCTAAAACTTTACTAAGTGACTCAAAACTAAAATTTAGCAAATTTAAAAACTGAAATTGAAAAAAATTGAAAATGTAACGAAGAAAGTTAAAAAAAAACTGATCCTTTAGTTAGAAAGTAAAAAAAAAAAAACAACTAATCCTTTAGAAAGTTAAAAGCTGAAGTATTTATATGCTCTCTTAAAACTGAAACTTAACAAAGAAATTACCTTTAAAATATCCGGGCAATTTTCTATGGAGGCCTTGAACATCATTTTAGCATTTTTTGCCTTCGTGCATGAAAATTGTTTTATTATTCATCCAAATTAATAAAATCCATAAACCAAGATTTCCGGGAATTATTACCCTCTACTCAAAATCTTTATTTAAATTAAGGCTATACACAATCAAGGATCTATCTAAATTAATACCACACACAGCCCAAGATTTATTTTAAAAAATACTATCTAAAATACATCCATATTAACGCCATCAGCAGACCCGCAATAAATGAATACTATTCACAATCAAACTGTATCCATATCCATTTATCCATGTATCAACACCACCAGTCAATCGAAATTTTTGCCTTAGTCTACAGTTGGACGGACGGGTCTCCTGTGGACTACAACAGAGTGAGAACAGCGCGGACGTCTGAGACGACTGGCGACCCCAGCGAGTTGTGTTTTGATGTAAACGGTTTGCTAACCCTCCTTTGGTGTAAGGCTTGGGGTAGAAGTAGATATCTTTTAGCCAGTCAAATCTTTAGTGTAAAGCCTGGGGTAGAAGTAGATATCTTTTAGCCAATCAAATCTTTAGTGTAAGGCCCGGGGTAGAAGTAGATATCTTTTAGCCAATCAAATCTTTAGTGTAAGGGGTAGAAGTAGATATCTTTTAGCCAATCAAATCTTTAGTGTAAGGGGTAGAAGTAGATATCTTTTAGCCAAGCAAATCTTTAGTGTAAGGCCTGGGGTAGAAGTAGATATCTTTTAGCAAATCAAATCTTTAGTGTAAGGGGTAGAAGTAGATATCTTTTAGCCAGTCAAATCTTTAGTGTAAAGCCTGGGGTAGAAGTAGATATCTTTTAGCCAATCAAATCTTTAGTGTAAGGGGTAGAAGTAGATATCTTTTAGCCAACCAAATCTTTAGTGTAAGGGGTAGAAGTAGATATCTTTTAGCCAACCAAATCTTTAGTGTAAGGGGTAGAAGTAGATATCTTTTAGCCAACCAAATCTTTAGTGTAAGGGGTAGAAGTAGATATCTTTTAGCCAATCAAATCTTTAGTGTAAGGGGTAGAAGTAGATATCTTTTAGCCAAGCAAATCTTTAGTGTAAAGCCTGGGGTAGAAATAGATATCTTTTAGCCAACCAAATCTTTAGTGTAAGGGGTAGAAGTAGATATCTTTTAGCCAAGCAAATCTTTAGTGTAAGGGGTAGAAGTAGATATCTTTTAGCCAATCAAATCTTTAGTGTAAGTGGTAGAAGTAGATATCTTTTAGTCAATCAAATCTTTAGTGTAAGGGGTAGAAGTAGATATCTTTTAGCCAATCAAATCTTTAGTGTAAGGGGTAGAAGTAGATATCTTTTAGCCAATCAAATCTTTAGTGTAAGGGGTAGAAGTAGATATCTTTTAGCAAATCAAATCTTTAGTGTAAGGCCTGGGGTAGAAGTAGATATCTTTTAGCCAATCAAATCTTTAGTGACGTGAACAGAATATAAAGAATAAAATCTGGAGGTTTAATGTTTAAAAGAACAGGTTCAAGTTTAGCATCTAACATCACACCGTTTGGTACAAAGAAAAACATGCAAGATCAGTAAATAGAATGACATATAAATGTTTAGTACTTAAAATATCATCTAGAGGTTAAGTAAAATACCTAAAGTAACATGTAAAGGTTTAAAACCCTTTTAGAAGCAGAGTTTTTTCTCTCTGCGGGGGGGGGGAGACGGACTTCTCCCCACCAAATAAAGTCTACCGCCCCCCCCCCCCCCGAACGAAGTGGTTATTTTTTAGAAAATATATACCATTAATAGTGCCCCCCCCCGGAAATTTTAGTCCGACTGGTTATTTTTTAGAAAATTTATATACCAGAAATTTGAAATTGTGGGAAAGATAATTGTTTTAAAATTACGATTTACATTATAAATGCTTTACCTATTTACACATAAACATAAGGTAAAGGTTTCCTGATTTAACCAACACAGCTCATATTTATGATTTCTCAGATCTTTACATACAATTACATAACTCATCTTATAATGATGGCAGATTTATACCTACCATTACATAACTCATCTTTATAATTATGGTAGATTCATACCTACCATTACATAGCTCATCTGTATAACGATGGCATATTTATACCTACCATTTCATAACTCATCTTTATAATGATGGCATATTTATATCTACCATTACATAACTCATCTTTATAATGATGGCAGATTTATACCTACCATTACATAGCTCACCTTTACAAATTCCGTAGACCAATACCTGCCATTACTCATCTTATAAATTCCGCAGATCAATGTCTTTAGTTCCAGGTGGTCTACAGAAACGTGTTCACTGAAACAACGATACGCTTGCTCGCTCCCCGCAGGTGAGGCTGTTGTCAGAAGTCAATACTAATAATTATCATTAAAAAAGTTTTTAAAAACCCACGAGGGTTTTTAAAAACTTTTTTAATGGTAATTATTTTCTACTTTTTAGTCTTTGTCTGTTTGTTTGCATTCAAATCTCGCTATCGATTTTATCTTCTCGCATTCACTTTTTTTTTGGGTAAACGAAGACAACTCGTAAAAAACACGTGCCTTTTCCAATTTGCATAGGTTTGTACACAAACACCGCGTGACCACTACTCAGTAAGCCAAAAGAGGGAGAGTACCGAACCTTGTTTTCATCAAATTACAATTACTGGTTTATGTCCCTTTTCCCCACGATTTTTGTACAAATATATAGGGGTCTAAAATGATCAATAAAATGTTTCCATGGATCAATTTAGTAATAATAACAATTGAATATTGTATTGTCATCGGAAACAAAGCTTCCCTGAAAATTTCAGCGCGCTAGCTAACTGGGAAGTGCCCAAAATTTCGATCGCAAGATTTGATTTGACAACCAAACAAACAAACAAACAGACGCGAAAGCAAGTTAAAGAAAACGTGGGAAAATCAATCAACTTAGAGTTAAGAGATTACATTTATAAGTCGCAGGTAAAACTCATGGCTGTTAATTTGAAAGCTCCCGAGTTCAAAACCCCGGATAGTTGAGGCTTGATTGCTGGGGACAGAAACCCAGCTTGGAGATCAACTCCAAATTCAAACAACGGCTGCCTTGTAGTTTGTTCATGGACACGAGCCTTGAAGGCAATAAAAGCTGCCTGACATCTGTGCCAATAGCCTTTATAAATTGACACGTAATCCTTCATCATCTTTGAAGAAATCACTTCCAAATTACAATAATAACTAAGATTGATGATTCTGAAGTAAATGTCGTAACATCACTTTATTAAAATTATAATTTCATTTGTTGAAATTTAATGATTTAATTTTAATTCATAATAAAATGATAAAGAACTTTTGAGAAAAAACGTTTCAGCTTGCTAAAATTCTATTATGAAACTCTCTAGATAATGGCTATAAATATCTGACATGAGAAATTACTATTATTTGATACAGTACTCATAACACTAAATTATTAGATACACACGAAAGCACTGAGAGTTTGATAATATACTAATGATCTGTAATGTTTCAATGGCTTTCAGATTCAGTACATCATGTAAATAAGGTGATAGAAAGTCAACAAAAAGGTAATGTTAGGAATTACCAAGCTCCTGTAGACATTATGACACCTGTAGAATTTATATCACCTGTAGAATTTATGACATTGTAGACCTTATGCCACATGTTGAACATGACACCTTTGGATTATAGGTCACCTGTATAATGTAAGACACCTAAAAAACATGACACCGGTAGAATTTAGGACACATCAATTTAGATTACCTTATTTATATCAGTGGCGGAACTAGAAAAAAAGGGCCACCCCGCAAAGAATTATTTTGGGCCCCATATATATATATATATATATATATATATATATATATATATATATATATATATATATATATATATATATATATATATATATATATATATATATATATATATATATATGTGTGTGTGTGTGTGTGTGTGTGTGCCTTTGTATATAAACAAAATACGAAAATACCTACACAGTACTCATTTCGGGATTGTTCGATTTTTTTTTTTTAAATTAAAAATACTAAATTTTTTTTAAAGAAATTAAAACAAGTTACAAGAACACGTCACAATTCTGTGAGTGCTATTTTTTTTTTTTGCTGTGATCACTCTGTGAGTGCTATTTTTTTTTTAAATTAATAGTGACAATCGTAAACAGCGTAAAATCGAAGATCAGTCTCACTATCCACTCTGTGTGTGTTAGAGTGCTATTAGTCTGAAAATCTCTGCTTTAAATATATGTTTAATGCTTCCAGTATGTTGGTCGGTCAAAAGAATATGAAGCATGAAAGCTTTGTATGTGTAATGGTTTCCCGCGTTATGTTTATTTTCATGTTTTTTTTGTATTTATATTATTAGTTTTAAATACATTTCCGTTTTATGCTTTGTCATTCTTTATTATGAATTTTTTTAAATAATAATTAAGAGATGTAATTGCTTTTTAATTTGTTTAGTGCAATCTATTAAAAGGAGCTTAAGAGCACACATACTTGACTATTTGAAAAAGGGAAATAAGTCATGGAAGTGGTTTGAACGCTTGCCTGTCATTCACGCGATTTTCATACGAATTTTTCCGACAACAACGCGTGTTTGATTGTTGGAGAAAGAGGACCCGGGATGGTGTCTATAGAATAAAGATAATGAAACCGCAGCTACAGTATTCTTTTTACAAAACAACCATAAAGTCAAAAATGTATCAAGATTTTTTTTAACTAAAAAAATAAATTGATTATGGTCGGCTGTGGGCCCCTAAATGGCCCGGGCCCCCCCGCATTGCGGGGTCTGGCGGTACTGTAGTTCCGCCCCTGATTTATATTAAGCTCCTATCAAGACGACAGCAACTTAAAATCTTGAAATTTCCAGCATGTTCCGGCCCGTCCTGGACTTACTACAATGGGTTCTGCTACTACGTCAGTGCCGACCTCAGGGACTGGCATGGTGCCAGATCCACGTGCCTGTCGCTCGGAGCTGACCTGGTCAGCGTGCACTCACTGGACGAAGAACATGCTCTGTCCACTCTGGTACAGTTGAAATATTTCTATTGGTTTCCTTCTCACGTTTAGCCATGTAGATTCTAGTCAACATCGTTCGTAGAGGATAATTTGTTTACCTAAAATACAATATGATGGAAATGGACGTAAAATGACAGATAATCGCCAAAATAACTTGTCCAAATGAGCAGAAAGTTCGGTCAGAACGCAGAATAAGTTGGCCGACTGGGTTAAGTGGAATATTTTAGGCAGCTTTTTTACACGTTCTTTTTGGTCAATACAAGCAATGTCCCACATTCCGTCTTCAATACTAAGTTACTGCTACTTTAATATAACTTTTGGCATGTAATAAATCTTAGTTACATTTGAAAAAAGAAGTAATTTCATTAAATATTACACACGATTTTTCTTGGTTCCTATATTTATCTTCCAGCTTCATTTTATTTATCCACATAAATTATATTTCTCCACATAAATTATATTTATCCACACAAATTATATTTCTCCACTAAAATTATATTTATCCACATAAATAATATTTCTCCACTAAAATTGCATTTATCCACATACATTATATTTATCCACATACATTATATTTATCCACATAAATTATTATATTTATCCACATAAATTTACCCACAAATTTATCCACATAAATTTATCCACATAAATTATCAACAGACGAAAAGAGAGAAATGTGACTCTTCCTGGATAGGCCTGCAAGTGAATAGTCAAATGTATACGTAAGTATGGGGAATTTAAATATATATATATATATATATATATATATATATATATATATATATATATATATATATATATATATATATATATATATATATATATATATATATATATACATATATATATACATCAGATGGTCGGATGGTAGCCCTGTAGCATTCCTCAACTGGTTTATGTACCAAGATTATATCAATACCAAAAGTCTCCGTACTTGTGTTTATCAGAAATCGGGTAAGTCATATGGCTAGTACGCAAATCACAATATAAATCTTTAAGACGCTGTGGAAGCACAACATTTGTGATGTAAAAAGTTCATCTACTAAATGTCTCTGTTAGGTGTTTAAAGATCTTTCAGGCGAAATTACCGAGTCATGTTTTTTAATTAATCTTAGATGTCTGGTTGGACGAGTCGTGCACTGCTTTGACAAGGTTTGTGTGCAAGAGGAGAGGTCAAGAGGTCAATGACCCCTCCAGCAGCCCTACCCCAGCGACCAGCAGTCCGGGGTCTGGAACTACAGACACTGACCCAGGGGAAGATGGAATCTGTCCTCACAAGTTTTTCAGCTTAGGTCAGCAGTTTTATTTTGTTTTGGGACATGTATTGGCATCCAAATGTTTTGAGTTCGAATCTCTTTTGCGACTTTTGACTGAAGGACGTCCCTGAGCCAACTCAGCTTGGATGTGTACCTGACTTAGGTTGGTTAAAGTAAAGGCGACTTTGCTTAGTGCTGACAACACCATCCCCTTTATATGCCGAGGACAAGAAACATTACTCTACTTCATGTGCCAAATGGATCGCTAAGTCGAATGGGGAATCTTTACTTTTTACTTTCTCGTATATATGAATTATAGAGAAAGTCTTGTAATCGTGCAAAAAAAAAAAATCCCGACGTTTTACATCTTACTGATACGGAAAAACATAACTTTGCAATCTTGTCCGTATGCCTGTTTGTCTGTGTGTGTGTCTTTGTGTGTGTAAACACGATAACTTGAGTACCGTTACAGCTAGGTTGATGAAATTTCATATATTAGTATTTTATCAAAATCTTAGATCCGTATCAACTTTTGAGCGATTTCCGATAACCGGAAGTGGTACTTTTTCTACTTTGAATTTTTCAAAAGCCTATAACTTGAGTACTATTTCAGATAGATGAATGAAATTTCACATGTAATTAAAAAATCTAATTCTCTACCTTATGTCAAATTTTGAGTAAATTCCGTTGACCGGAAGTACTAATTTACGCTATTTCCGATTTCTAAAAAAACGCACGTAAATTTATAAAGTACTAATAATATTCCGCACTATTATGCACATTTTGTTTTGGCGTTCACTTGGTGCGCAATTCTTTTTTCTATGTGATTCTATTCTATTTTTAAAAGTTTAAGCAATTGAAAATCATGTCTATATTCCAAGTTATATAAGTATATTCGAGAAAGTTTCGGGGAGATCACTCCCGGTTTATTTTTACTGGCATACACTGTGTTAACATTACAACAAATTTCATGTGTCACGGTTACTCTTGTGTGTTGATTATTTGTTGGTTTTAAGCTTCGGTTCCATCTTGGACTTTAAATATAGTTGTTAAATCTCCACCAGCGGTCAGCAGGAAGTGCTATTACCTCAGTGACAAAAGACTGGACTGGTCAAGTGCCAGACAGGCCTGCAAGAACATGAGCACTGCCGTGAACGTCACGTTGGCATCAATAAACAGCCAGGTGGATCAAGGTGAGCACTAACTCACGTGCTAAAGTCACATTTACAATCCAGCACTAACTCACGTGCTAAAGTCACATTTACAATCCAGCACTAACTCACGTGCTAATGTCACATTTACAAACCAGCACTAAACACGCATGTCAAAACCACATGTTTTTAAATTGAACGTTACATTCAACTCACGAGTTTAGATAGGATGTTACATTTAACTCATGAATTTGTGTTTTCAGACATGGTCATCATGCTAGCGAGAGAATATAAACAAGATTTCTGGATTGGGTTCAATAACACAGACAGAAGCGAGTTCCAATGGGTGGATGGTTCACAGGTGACCTTCGTCAACTGGGGTCGCAGAGAGCCAAGGGTGCCATCCCATTACAGTTATTATGTTTCTGTGAGTTTCATTCTACACGCACTTCAACTCCCAGCTGTTTCATTCTACACGCACTTCAACTCCCAGCTGTTTCATTCTACACGCACTTCAACCCCCAGCTGTTTCATTCTACACGCACTTCAACCTCCAGCTGTTTCATTCTACACGCACTTCAACCCCCAGCTGTTTCATTCTACACGCACTTCAACCTCCAGCTGTTTCATTCTACACGCACTTCAACCCCCAGCTGTTTCATTCTACACGCACTTCAACCCCCAGCTGTTTCATTCTACACGCACTTCAACCTCCAGCTGTTTCATTCTACACGCACTTCAACCCCCAGCTGTTTCATTCTACACGCACTTCAACCTCCAGCTGTTTCATTCTACCCGCACTTCGACCCCCAGCTGTTTCATTCTACACGCACTTCAACCCCCCCCTGTTTCATTCTACCCGCACTTCGACCCCCAGCTGTTTCATTCTACACGCACTTCAACCTCCAGCTGTTTCATTCTACACGCACTTCAACCCCCCCCCCTGTTTCATTCTACACGCACTTCAACCTCCAGCTGTTTCATTCTACACGCACTTCAACCCCCCCCCCTGTTTCATTCTACACGCACTTCAACCCCCAGCTGTTTCATTCTACACGCACTTCAACCTCCAGCTGTTTCATTCTACACGCACTTCAACCCCCAGCTGTTTCATTCTACACTCAACATCAGACGAGTCCATCGCCCCACTTTATGTTTGTAAGAGGCCAGTATAGCCTACAAGAAAAGCACTTACATTATCTCATGTGCTGGGTAGATCTATAAAGAAAGTATTGTAAGCGTGCACAAGAATTAAATGAAATTGTCAACAGTTTTCGTGAACTAACACCTCCCCACTGTAAACTGTACGGAATATAAAGGATGTAATGTAAACGTGCTAACATCTACATAGACATTTTGAGAAATTTTGACGGTTTATAACCTCCCGGAGCCTTAAAACTTTTCAAACATGCCCTTCTGTGTGTGTTTGTGTGTATGTGTAGGTGTTTGTGTGTATGTGTAATTTCTCGAAAAACGAGCGGTTTTGTTTCAAACATACTTACCATTTCTATAGCCAGATTCCACTAGATGTACCATCCCAACCCTAGCCATTTATGGTACCTGATTGCTGTTTTATTTAAATTAATAAAGTTTAACCTGAGTAGTATATTAGGTCCCTTTTGGGTCGGTTTTTTGGCGCAGGTGGTGGTGGGGATGTACAATGACATATAGTAAAATACTCCCACCACCAGGTGGTGGTGGTGGTGGTGGATGTACAATGACATATAGTAAAATACTCCCAGCCTGGGGCTGGCGGATGTGGAGGAGCGGTGGTGGTGGTGGTGGTGGCGGGACAACGACATATAGTAAAATACTACGCCAACTGGGGTTGGCGCAGGTGGTGGGGAAGTAGGTCACCTTTTTGTGACCTTGTGACGTAATCATTGACCTTGTGACGTAATCAGTCACATTGTGACGTCATCACTGTCCTAGTTACGTAATTTTAATGCGTTTTTTAATGAGTTTTAATGAGTTTTTAAATTTTTAATTAATTTTTATTATCGAGTTACGTAATTTAATTACTTTGATTGTATTTTTATTTTGTTTAATTTGTTTGTTTACTTGTTGTTTGATTTAATTACTTTGTTTATATTGTGTAATTTTTATTAACGAGTTACGTAATTTGATTATTTGTTTACTTTTTAATTATTTTTATTGAGTAGTTACGTAATTGGATTTTAATTTTTTTAATTTTTAAATTTTTAATTTTTTAATTTTATTAACTAGTTACGTAATTATTTTAATTTGATTATTAGTTTGAATTTAATTTAATTAATTTGATTTTGATTACTTTGTTTAATTTATTTATTTGATATATTTCTTTTCTTTGTTGTTTAATGTTGTTTATTTATTTGAATGTATGTATGTTTTAAATAAAAGACTAACACTAGCATGTACTAGAACAGTCTTTGTATAGGGACCATTCTCCAACACAACGAACGTTACAAAAATAGAACATCCATTAAAGATAACGATCAGCCACAGCTGTTACATATCGATCCGCGATCCTTTGTTCTTGTCAACCACCGACCGGAGATTTATGGGTTTTATATTGATCGCACCCACTGGGCCATCACAGCATGATGTCCCACCTAATTAAATTTTGTTATGCATCAGTGATTTTTCCCCGCTCGGTTTGACGGGTCATGATGATTTATGTGGGTTCGCGAAGCGATCCCACCGGGGGGGGGGGGGGGGGGGGGGTATGGTAATTAACGCGAAGCCAGCGTTAAGTGTGGGAACACCTGTTACCACTGTATTGGTTTTTTCCCCGATCGAATTGTTAGCTCCGCGAAGTACGTCGATCGATTTGTCAGCTCCGCGAAGCACTTAGGTCATTATGCAACAGCTGGTCCCGCGCTTTCCACTAACAGGTATACGGACAGTGTCATAGGATTTTTGATCGAGTAAAGAAATAGTATTGAGCGACCCGGGTCGAACCCGTGTGTTGTATGTAGTTGGTATATCCATGTTTTGTTGTTGGTAGGTTTAAAACTAGGGTCGGTGAAGTTTTCACCGAGGTTGGTTTTGAACTCGGACCATGCATGTTTGGGAGTTGCTAGGTGTGGAGTTTTTACTAGGGTGGTATGGTTTTGGTTTCACCATGGCTTGGTTCAAAGTTGTTACACGGATTTTTTGGAGTTGGTAGGTTTCAAACCTGCCTCGGTGAAGTTTTCACCGAGGCAGGTTACAAAGTTGATACAGGCATGTTTTGGAAGTGTTAGGGGCCGAATCCATACTAGAGTGGGAATGATTTTGTTTTCACCGAGTGATGTTGGTACACGATGTTTTGGAAGGGGTTGGTGTAGAGTCTATACTACGGTCGGTGAAGTTTTCACCGAGGCAGGGTTCGAAGCTAGACCATGTATGTTTAGGAATTGTTAGGGGTAGAGTTTACACTAGAGTCGAGGGAGTTTTATTAACACCGAGGCATGTTGGTACATACATGTTCTTGGAATTGTTGGCAGCCGAGTTCATATTAGGGTCGGTGAAGTTTTCACCTAGGTAGGTTTCAAAGTTGTTATATGTAGGGCCTATGTTTTGGAAAGGGTTGGTGGAAGGTTTATACTAGAGTCGGTGAAGTTTTCAACGATGGAATATTATTTGTCTTTACAAGTTCACTTTTGTGATTGTGTGTGTGTGTGTGTGTGTTTGCGTGTGAGTGTGTGTGTGTGACTTCATACTAGGGTCGGTGAAGTTTTCACCGAGGCATGTTTCAAACTCTGTCCATCCATGTCTTGGAGTTGTTGCGGATAGAATTTATACTAGGGTCGGTGAAGTTTTCCTGATGTAATATTGTTTTTGTCTTTACCAGTTCGTTTTGTGATGGTGTGTGTGTGTGTGTGTGTGTGTGTGTGTGTGTGTGTGCGTGTGTGTGTGTGTGTGTGTGTATGTGAGAGCTTTTTGGTTTGAGTGAAAAACGTTTGGTTTGCGGTGTATAACTGACACCGATGTTTTGACTGCGTGGGATTTCAAAGTTGGATGGGAAAGTTGTCACACCTTTTAATCAACTATTACAATTAATCACAAAAGAGCATTTAAATGTATATAAAAATTTTATTTACTTAAAACAACTCCTGTGTGTGTGTGTGTGTGAATGTGCAACCCGTACAAAAGGACAGTCTGGATAATAGCGTCGATGTTCTTCTTCTACCACATCACCCGTTTCCCAACCCCTCAACGTATTCAAACAGAAAATACACTTGACAAGGTCACCAGGTCCAATGAAGATAAAACCATTTTTAGCCAAACTGATAGGGTCGACCGGGTAGACGTCGGACCAACACCCCGAAAATGTTTGCAACCTTTCCTCCTCATCATGGAACCTGATGTCACTGTCCCTGTCAGAAGCTGGGTTGGGTGGTGGTGGTGTCTCATCAAGGGGTTCAATAAAGGTTCCACCTATAGGTCGCTGTACAAACACTCTCTCATAACCTAGATTCATCTCCCCTTGATTAGTCTCATGAAAGGTACTGATCATCTGTACAGGATACAATCTCACTTCCTCTGGTCCAATATCAAGACCAGTTGCCATTTGCTCCGACATTCCCGTGCTCTCACTGGAATCCCATCCACAGCACTGAAGACAAAAACATTCACCGGACATGGTATAGGGTTCTTATACGGCGGTGTTTATAGTATTCCCTGAATACCACGCCTGGGTGGGCTATCGATCAATGCCGTAAAGAGCGGTTTCCAACTCGGATCCAGTATTTTAAATGGTTGATTTTGATTTCAGTCATACCTCTTATACAGGATACCGAGTTACATAACTTTCAGGGACAAGTAACAAAACAATAACTCACATCAAAAATTTAAAAAAGACCGTTTATATCATAAGTTTTTATTGAATAAAAACAACCCCATCAGCATACCGTCATGGTTCTGTCTTATTTATATATTTACATTAAAGTCTCGTTAAAGTCATGGTTGGTAAACTAAAGGTTCTTATATGTCTAGGGGAGATGTTGTCACATTGTCTGCGTCTACTCGTCTTTTAATGTAAAAGTAAGAAAGTGAGTTTCTGTGTTGGGTGTAAGTATATATCCCCGTGTTGTATGCTCTGAACCCTGTGTTTGTCCCACCACTTGGTTCCTTTGTTGTGAGGACCTGCATGAAAGATTCTTTGCCTAGTGTGTTGTGATTTTTAGATAATCCCTTGGTTGATGTTTTATTATACTCGCCAAAACAGTGGTACGTCTTACTACATAAAGATACCATCCCATCCCCTTCATATTCTAATTTAAACAACCCCGGTGTTCTCTTTTCATAAATTTTCCTAGCCCTACACTCTAGACAATGACTATCTACCGTGCCTTTGCCGCTTATAAATTGTGGTCTATGTGAGTCGCATACTTCTGAGGGGAACCATTTGTCGTAAATGTCAAAAAACTCGTGTTCTAGTCCCGGTCTAACGGCTTCTAACAAGTCATCGGTACTTAAGGCTAAGTATAAACTGTCAGTGTCCATCTCACAGAGCTGAAAGTCGGTTCTATCTATATATTTGTCTATAAAGTCATAATAAAATTCTAACATCCTAAGTTTCGCGTACTGATAAACGAAAAAGCCTATCTGAAGAGGGAGATCCCAAACTATCTTCTTTTTTAACGTTTCTACTTCGTAAACAGCGTCGGTAAGATTTGTCATTTTTTTAAATCGTGGATTATTAATACAATCCCCTATATCCCTATCACTACAGTAGGTCATGTCCGCATGTCGTGTTTTATCCGTCAAAGTTTTACCGTATGCCGCGTTTCCTAACAATTTCATTGTTTCACTAGTTATCGCGTATTTGTCGTCTATGTCCCCCTTTCTTCGCGCGTCTGAAACTGTATCCCCAAATGTCTTAAAACATGCAACCGGATTATATTCAACGACTTGATAAATTTTACTGACTACCAACCCATGATTTAAATACCACTTTAAAAGGGGGGTCGCTAATAAAATTTTCTCCCCTGTAAAGCTACCGATTAAAGTCCGTCTACCGCTAGTTAATAAGTTGTTATCGAGCGCGTATTGTCTCATAAACGGTCCGATGTCATCGCGCGTAACGTCCGTATTTTTAAAAATAGGTGTCATCTCACTAAAATGTTCTCTTAAACTATCCGGTACTTTAATGTCGCATTCTATCAGACCAAAACACGAGTCGTCTAAAACAGAATCGATGATCTGTTTT